TTAATCAAATATACAAGATCTTGGTTACCACCAGAAACCAATCACTTTGAACACTCTAGGCCTTTAGATTGTCGGTCACATTTCCAATAGCTCAGTGGTAATGTCCGAGATTTTAATGCTGAGTAACTTGAGTTTGAATCAAATACAGAGATCTAGTTCTCTCAAGATATCAGATACATCATGCTGGTGTCCACAAGTGTCAAGTGGTCTGTTTATTCAGCATTTACAGCAATCTAGAGAAATTTCGTATTTGATTATTGCTTGCTCACTATCTACGTAGAATATATCAGTCTGGAAATCTCATCTGTGATCAAAGAAACCTAAAGTAAACGAACTTAGAAGTTCATAATCTACTACTTACGAATGTAATTATCAGCAATACACACTTACACCTGTTAATCTTAGTGAAGGAGCATAGGTCGCTCACCAACATTCTCTATCCATCAACAATAGCTAATAGTCATTAGTTGAGATAGTTAAATTGTCAGCTTTGAATATAAGACATAGGTGGATTTCGATTAATTTGGTCTTTATCTGTCGACTATTTCAGTATATAAACTTAAAGATTCATTCTCTCCTGAATATAGAGTAGTCAGTAATTTATTTTTAAAATCGAGAAAAAATGATGAACATTTGAAGCGAATTTCGTGTTTTTTATTTGATTTGTTTAATTCTTGGACTGTTGTGATTTGGTCTAACTTAGCAGATCGATGTTGATAAAAGTGCTGATTATTTAACTTAAGATTATTTCATGGTGATAAGACTAACGTAACGTTTTGAGTATTCAATAAATATGTAATATCTAGCAATTTCGTCCATGTTTCGAAGCAGCACCCACGGATCTCCCAATCAATGTTGGCTCATCAGCAATTGAAGAGGTCAGCATGGCCATCAGACAAATCAAGAGTGGCAAAGCAGCAGGACCAGACAACATTCCAGCGGAGGCACTGAAAGCAGACCTGGCAGTGACTGAAAAGATACTCCACATTCTCTTCAGTAAGATTTAGGATGAAGAACAAGTACCAACAGACTGGAAAGAAGGACACCAAAGAAGGGCGAGTGAGAGGCATCACTCTTCTCTCAGTACCAGGAAAAGTCTTCAACAAGCTGTTGTTGAACAGAATGAAGGACTCCGTAGACGACCAACTTCGAAATCAACAGGCTGGATTCCGTAAGGATCAATAGTGTACTGACCGAATCGCAACACTACGGATCATTTTGGAACAAGCGATTGAATGGAATTCACCACTCTACATCACCTTCATTGACTACGAGAAAGCATTTGATAGCGTGGGCAGGACAACACTATAGAAGCTTCTTCGACACTACGGCGCACCTGAGAAGATAGTCAACATTATACGGAATTCCTATAATGGATTAAACTACAAAATCGTACATGGAGGGCAGCTCAAAGACCCGTTCGAAGAAAGACAGGTTTTAGGTAAGACTGCTTACTCTCACTCTTTCTTTTTCTCCAGGTAATCAACTGGATCCTAAAGACGTACAAACAAATGTAGGCTCCAAATTATCCAGTGATATACAAAAGGATTTGATTGGGTTAAACTGTGTAAATGACTAGACTATATTAGTATAGTTATTCCAATGTCTGATGCAGATATGAAGGCGCGAATCGACAAAGCAAGAACAGAATATCTACAACTGAAGAATATCTCCAACTCAAAACAACTGTCTGTCAACCAACACCAAAGTCAGAATTCTCAAAAAATGTCAAGACAGTTCGACTGTATGGGTGGAAATTTGGACAACTACGAAAGTCATCATCCAGAAGAAACAGGTGTTTATTAACAGTTATCTGCACAGAATACTTCGGATCCGTTTGCAACACACTACACTATCAGCAGCAACCTACTATGGGAGAGAACAAAACAGATTCCAGTAGAGGGAGTAATAAGAAAGAATCACCGGAAGTGGATAGGACACACATTGAGGAAAGCACCTAACTGCGTCACGAGGCAATCCCCCACATGGAATCCTCAAGGCGAAAGGAGGAGCGGAAGACCAAAGAACACATTACATCGGGAAATGGAGACAGACATAGGAAGAAGAAGAATGAACAAAAATTTTATAGATCTGTAAAGGAGGGTCCAGGACAGAGTGGGTTGTAGAATGCTGGTCAGCGACCTATGCTCCATTGGGGATAACAAGCGTAAGTAAGCAAGTTAAAGTTGTTTAATAGATAGGTACTAAATGTTAGAACGACTACTTCATAATAAAATTAATAAACATCTACAAGGCATCTATTAGAAACTAAAACAACTTACATCAAAACGCATAACTTTAAATATAACACCTTTTGTTTCTATATTTTTATATCTTTCATTATAGATTATCAATGATCTTTTCAACTCGCTCTTTTCATCATGAAAGCATGTTACATTTTCATTATTTGGTGGTTGATTTGAATTGATTTCATTCTTGTTATTCACATCATCATGATCATTGATATCATCATCACCATCACCATCATCATCGTCATGATCCTTAAATGGATTTTTATCATTTCTACTTTGTATGACAATTGGCTGTTTACAGATTTCATTAGATTCATTTGTTCTATTTAGAAAATCAATTAAATTCCATAATTTAAACTTGATTTTCTGATTTTCATTTGTTTTTGATTCTTTTGCTTCATCCTTTTCAATGACTTCTGAAACAAATAAACTTTATAAGTCTCCTTATATCACTGTCTTCATAAAAGAAATGACTGTAATTAAGTAATAGTCGTGATACATTATAAAATATTTATTGATTGAATTCATGAGCTAATTAAAGCTAAGCCACTATGGAAAAGCTGAAAGTACTGGACGGCCGTTCGTCCTAGTATGAGATTTTTCATCAGTGTACATCCACTTGTTCATCTTAACAATTCTTTGCCTGGTTCATATATAAATACTGAACAGCCGTTTCGTCTTACAGTGAAACTCCTCAGCAGTGCGCATCCATGATCCGCTTTGCGGGACTCGAACCAAGGGCTTGTCCGTCTTTTTTTATGGAATGCCTTAATTCTGAAGTTGTCAAGGGCGAATTCTTGGGTTTTGTGAAGCATTGGCTATTTGTAAATTTAAACTTCCCCCCACCCTTATATGTACGAAAACAATATGTCGTAACCTTGATTTTACCCTGGTAATCCTTAAGTCATTCTATGGCCTAAGATAGCGTAACAGTTACTTATTCTTTCTATACGATGTAAAATTGTTTCTCTCCCCTCTATTAATTTTTTTACTTGAACTTTCATTTAATTGACCTTTATTAATTTTCATATAAAATTCCCTGACAAGTCTATGTATGATAAGATTGTTCGAAATGTATAGCGCAAACGAGAGTAACTAGAAGTGACCTAAAGATTAAGTGCATTTCATTGGGGTCAATTACCTAAAGATAGAGTGGTATATATATATGAATGAGTATGTGTACATTTTATTCGGTAGTTCAATATACTTTCTCTCTTACTCCTGTGTTCTTGCTCAAGTAGTCAGTTGAAGGGTTAGCACGTAACACACTGTGTATTATTATCATCATCAGATTCCGGACACCACATACCACAACAAAAAGTGTTAGATAGAAAACATTTTTATTTTGTCAAAATATGAAATCTTTTCAATGATTAGATAGAATTCTTTATGAGACACTTATTCAAGTAATGATCCTGGAATACAAGGTATTTCTGATGAACGGCAAAAATCAAATTATGAGACATCAGAAATTCAATTTTTATTCATGAGGATATTACAAAAAGTACTTACTGACTTACTCCTGTTACTCCTCGTGGAGGAGTATAGGCCGCCCACCAGCATTCTCTATCCAACCCTGTCTTGGACATTCTTTCCAGCTCTTCCTAGTTGTTATCCATCCTTTTCATATCTGATTCTACCTTCCGACGTAATGTATTCTTTGGCCTTCCTATTTTCTGCTTCCCTTTAGAATTCCAGGTTAGCGCTTCTCTCGGGATGCAGTTTGGTGATTTCTGCAATGTATATCTATCCACTTCCAGTGTTTTTTTCTAATTTTCTCCTCAGCTGGAAGCTGGTTTGTTCTCTCCCACAGTAGACTGTTGCTGACGGATATCCGGTCAATGGATGTTGAATATCTTGCGTAGACAATTATCTTTAAATACATTTACCTTCTTGATGATGATTGTGGTAGTTCTCTAAGTTTCAGTTCTGTGTAGTAGAAGTGTCTTGACGTTCGCATTGAAGATTGTGACTTTGATATTGGTTGAGAGACAGTTGTTTTGAGTTCCATATGTTTTTCAGTTGTAGGAATGAGGTTCTTGCTTTGCCAATCCTTGCCTTTATGTCTGCATCAGATCCTCCTTGTTCATCAATGATGCTTCCCAGGTACGTGAAGGGTTCCACATCTTTCCGAGTCTCACCGTCAAGTATGATTGTATTGGTGCTCTCCGTGTTGTATTTGAGGATCTTGGTTTTCCGTCATAACCTTCCACGAATCTCATAACGTATTTGTTATTAGATATACAGAATTAAAATACAACCAGTAATTTAATCTAATTACCATCTAATTCAGTAGGTGATGGATTTAAACAGGCAATAGGTTGTAAACCTTGGTCCAAACATATTAGAAAATTATAAACAGCATTGAATCCACCGTGCAATCGTATTGGTGGATGTGGGATTCCATCAAAACCAATTAAAATGATACAATATTCATTGGATGCGTCTATAAATAAAATCCAGAGATTAAAATTATGATATTTGACAAACTATTTTCAATACTAAAGATGAATGGTGGCTAGTAATGGAATCCAGGACTCGTTTCGTCTCATGTGAAACTCGACAGCTGTGTGTACATGCGTCCTGAATTCCAGTGCTAGACATCATTCATCATTGCTGATAAAGCTTGTGACTTAAGGTAGTATCGAGGCAATTTTAACAGGATGCATATATCCAATATAATGAGAGACTGATCAATTGCAGTTCTCAATAACAATGGGAAGATACAAGTAAAACAACAACAAGTGAATTTAAACTTCACCCTATTGAACAAGCAAGTGGCTACCAGGACTCAGTAGATGAGTAGATAACGCGATGACGTTCGAAGCAAACAATACTGGGTTCGAGTCCCAGAGTGAATATCAAATCTGGGATGGAGGTACATCCAGTTGACTAGTCCCAAATAGGACAAAACGCGCATCCTGAATTCCACTGCTAGCCACTATCCATAATTGATTATAAAGCTTGTGACTTAAGACAATATCGACGCAGTCTGCACAGAATGCACATATACTAATAAGCGACTGATCAATTGCAGTCCTCAATAACAATGGGAAGATACAAGTAAAACAATATCAGGTGAATTTTTATAAATTGTTTTAACTAAAATATTTGAATCAATGAATGCTAATCCAATGATATTTCATTTTCCTAGTTGCCTAGGTTAAGTACTCTAAAGAATCCCAAAACTGAGCTAAACAATGACCTAGTAACAGCTTATTTCATAACACATATCATCCAGATGTTTATTTAAAACTATGACAAAAGTTAATTTTCTAGATTAGTAGCAAATATTTGCATGCATAGAATAGAAATAAAAGAATTCCATGACCGGTTTTGGTTAGTATGTTATTCGGATTTTTACTTCAAATACTTTAATAAAGAAAATTATCACTACATACTGTTAGTAGTCATATCACTGACATAGATTTGGGACAATGCTACTTATGTAATGAGCTGTTAAATCGACAGTTTAGATTCTCGATATACCACGTACTACTTGAGCACTTGTTGGCTAGATCTCTCCAAGTCGTAAGTGAGAAGACAGAAGACGAGAGAAAAGGAATGCTATTATAAATAGTGTCAAATATGGTACATAACTCTCAAGTATTTATAGTTTTTAGTAAAAACTAAGCCACCATTACTGCCATACAGTTCGCATACAGTAGTTTTCAACATTTATCCAATAGGGAAGCTACATGTTGAGATTCTAGAATGTTCTTCCGAAAGATGATTGAATGTAATGTCTTCGGCTCTTTTTGAACTTTTCAGATCTTTCTTGAGTTCACTCGTAGGCCATCCTCACACGAATGAAGACTTATGTGAAGACACGTAATTACAGAAAGTCGTGCTAAAATATAAGAACCATATATGAAATACTCCATTTGTCTTACATATTCTGTATGATTCTTTCAATTCACAACTCTTTTCTTATTACGTCTCAGCATTCATAGCCATCTGCTTCCAGGTTTTCCACTTCCGATTGGGATTACATACTACTTATATCTGTTGTCATAAGTAGCATACGCAACACTTGTATCAGTCAGTATCTATCATGAAAATACTTCTTTAATTCGACAGAAGATTAGCCAACACTATGTAATTAAATCATTTTCACAAAATATTAATAATTGATATACTCAGTTAGAATTGTGTAACTTACCTTGATGTAGGTGAACATATTCAATTTTTTTCATTGATACTGTGAGAATTCCCAATTGGAAACCACTGAAAAATCAATTTAAAGATAGATCAATTCATATCCAAATATACGCGATACGTGAATTATACTACTTTTAATTGAGATCATGAACCGATTGATGTTGGATCACCATTGAAAACCTGAAGCACCAGACAGCCGATTCGTCCTATTGTAGGACTCCTCAGCAGTGCTCAGCCACGATTCCGCTCGCAGGATTCAAAACCAGAGCCTTCAGTCTAGAACGTGAACGCTTAACCTCTAGACCACTGAAACGGCATCCAACAGTGGTTTAACGGTGATGGTCTAACATTAATCGGTCAATAATCTCAATCAAAAACTTAATAATCTCAACAACCCTATATTGATAAAACATTTATCTTAGTAATTTTATACTTTAGGAATAATTGTTTATTTGTTCTTTTAACTGACTACCAATAACCTTATACTGACACACAGACACATAGTTTGCTCATTAAAGCTTAAATGTATCTAATAGTGAAATCCAGATGACCGTTTCGTTCTATTTAAGACTCATCAACCAATTTTTTCTGCAACTCAGAGTTGATATGTCAACGCATTATCTACTCAGCTGCAATTAGCATATTCTATCTATTCTATGTAAAATTGTACTATAACATCCATATTAAGACAACTCTTGTAATCACAATTGATTGATCGCTGGGTGGTGCTCAATGTCATGCTTGTCTAGTCCTTATCAGTGCAGATCGAATGCAATGTGGCCACCAGTCTAGGTGACTCGACGCTGCGGGCACTATGTATTGAGATTAGATGGTGGTTGGAGGTAGTCAACAGGAAACCCTGGACCCGGGTTTCGTGCTACTTGGCACTCGTCAGCAAGGTGAGAGAACTGGTGCTCCGTGGCGTATTCAATCTCGATAGCATTCGATCTGCACTAATAAGGACTAGACAAGCATGACATTGATCACCACCAAGTGATCAATCAATTGTGACTACATCTCAGTCCTACAGGAGGTCAGTCGTGGCTCGGATAGCTCAGTGGTAACGTCTCTGAGTGTGAAGCTGGGTGACATGAGACCGAATCCACCAGGGAGCACCAGTTCCCTCAAGATTACAGGTACACCTTGCTGACGAGTGCCAAGTAGCACGAAACCCGGGTCCAGGGTTTCCTGTTGACTACCTCCAACCACCATCAAATCACAACTCTTGTAAATTACATTAAGGATGTAATACTGCCTAAAACGTTTGACCAACAACACACAGTAATTACGAAAGTACAATTTTCATCAGTATTCAAATTGCCTACGACGAAGAAAAATGTATGAATAATTACAGAACGTTTTGATTTCATCTTGGAAACCAACCATTAGGGATGGGAATTTTGAAGTGTTAGATTCGACTACACAATGATACGTTTTTAAAGTTACATTTTTGAGATGGTTTAAGTTGAACGTTCAGGGAAATAATGAATATCTTACATAAACGATTGATAGTTTACATTAAGGCTCTATCCTTAACTTGATTGTCGTTACGAACTCCTGAAGCTTTCCAAAGTATCTGTCCAATACTTATTAGTGTTTATACTTTGTTTATATAAAGTCAGTCCATATGAATAATTTTGAAAATCATATTTATATGAATTCACTTGATAGTGTTGTTTACTTATATCTTCCTATTGTTATTTAGGATTGCAATTGATCAGTCTCTCTCACTCTCTATGATTGGTGTATGTGCATCTTGTGAGGATTGCCTCGATATAGCCTTAAGTCACAAGCTTTATAAGCAAAGATAGATAATGGCTAACAGTGGAAACAATGACACTTGTTTTGTCCTATTTGTGACTCGTTAACTGGATGTTCGTGCATCCCAGATTTGATGTTCACTCTGGGACTCGAACCCAGTACCGTTAGCTTCAAACGTCATCGTGTTATCTACTCACCTACTGAGTTTTGAATGAGTGAATGATTGCCTTAAGTCACAAGTTTTTAAATCAAAGATAGGACGAAACACCCGTCCTGGATTCTACTCCTACCTACAATTCATCATCTATACATATGTTACGAAAGTAAAAATAAACTAATCACTTACTAATCAATTCTTTTATTGTTCTTGACTGATTGTGAACTTTGTGAAGTGATACATTTGTCTAAAACTTTAAGATTATTCCATTCATATATTGAATCATTGAATATCTTTTGATCAACATTATATTGATTATCACCGTTGTTATGATTATGATCAAATTTACCATAGGATGCTTGTAATAATAAATTATTCGATGTCCATTTAAGTAATAAATCATTTGTAGAACTGATTAATTCAAAATAACCAAGAGAATTTTGATCATCACCTAACTGGAAAAGATAAAGAAATGTTACAAGGGTATATTTAATTACTTAATTTCTTCGTCTTAAGATATAGATAGTAGTTGTTGGTCAGTAGAAATCCTTATGATAAGTTTTGCTAATTGAATGATAAATTCGGTTTCTCAGCTCTTCTAGTAACCTCCCACCCTAGACTAGATCTATACATCAACTTGAACATGAGTGGAAAGGCACAAAATATGAAAGAAACACTTTACTCCAAAAGTTCATTTATGTACAGAAAATCTAGGGTTTTTATAGTATTTTAGATGTCCTTAGGTTTCCCGAAAATTCTGGAATGTTACTGAACATAGTAGCAGTATGAGTAATCATCCAGTCAGAAACTCAACATGTGACTTTTCATTTTTTAGATGTTTCTGGCTAAACTTCTATTGAATGCTGGTTGGATAAGATGATCCTCAGTGTTTTCAGAGCCTTTCATGGAGTTTTTTAAGGAGTTTTCTAGATCTTCCCACCATCTTTTGTTAGTCGTAATTTCACCTTAACATAAATTTTTACACTTGATTAGTTAACTTATAAGAGTTCTTAAGGCTGTAAAAAATTATTCTCATGATATATTAACAACTATTATGATGTAGTCTTTTTTCTTAAGATGTTATATGTCATGACTATTGACTCAGAGAAACTAGTTTTAGCATAAATGAAAGAAAATTTGAACAAATCTTCCCATTGTATTACTTAATCAAGTGATAATACGTTTGGTATTGTTTGTTTGAATCTTTCCATGATGTTCACGTCTGCAATTGATCAGTCTCACGTTGGCATATGTGCATCTTGTGCGAACTGTTTTGATATTGACTTAAGTCACAAGCTTTATATATTTATGGACACATCGTTTCAGCTATGAAAATAGTACAGTCTCTACGAAATCCTTATACTGATAATAATTATGTTCACATTAGTGATTATCTTCAAGAAAAAATTTCCTGGAGTTCTAGTGAGAAGCTATGATCAGTGGAGTTCAACCGTATTTGTTGTGAGGCAGTTAATTACAGAAGACAATGGAATATGGTCGCGCAATATCGTGGATTGATTAAAGTTACATATTAACACTTTTCGATAGCGGCTCAGTGGTCTAGTGGTTAAATGTTCACATGTAATACCGAAGGTCCCAGGTTAGAATTCCACGTGGATGGACATTGCTGAGTATTTCCATTCTAGGATGAAACGGTCATTCACTACTTTAAGGTTTATAATAGTAGTGTAGATTAGATTGACTTGTGAATTCGACTATATTTTTATTCACTGATATATCTTTCATAATTTCACATAGTAAAATGCAGTAATTAGGTATAAATTCAATATTAACTAATTGTATTAAGTAACCTAATACTTTAACTGGATAACTAATTAGAACAATAGGTTATTTAGATGCTTATGTATAACGAACTGATAAGATGATAAACCGGTATGCTTGAATATCTGGGCTACCTGTTTCCTGTCATCTAGATATTTCAACAAGTTATTTGCTTCTTTGTTTGTTTTAACAATCAACCACGTGGAATTCTAACCTGGGACCTTCGGTATTACATGTGAACATTTAACCACTAGACCACTGAGCCGCTATCGAAAAGTGTTAATATGTAACTTTAATCAATCCACGATATTGCGCGACCATATTCCATTGTCTTCTGTAATTAACTGCCTCACAACAAATACGGTTGAACTCCACTGATCATAGCTTCTCACTAGAACTCCAGGAAATTTTTTCTTGAAGCTAATCACTAATGTGAACATAATTATTATCAGTATAGGGATTTGGCCATATACATGGAAAAGAATATACGTTAATGAGATGTCGATTGTTGAACTACTAATATCTAACCGACGATCACTCAATATGTTATCGTCAATATCGATCAAGAAATAAGAAACGAAAACTCGTTCAAATACTTTGTGTTAAGAATTCCATATTGCACCAAAAAGGTTATATTGAATAAAGCTGTATAGTAGTTATTCTTTTTGTACTCTTCATTCTTCCTAACTGTTATAAGACAACACTGTTTCTTTCACAATTGATTGATCACTGGTTGGTAATCAATGTCGTGTGCATCAGGTCCTTCTTAGTAAATCGAATCCTATCGACCATGTCGCAATGTGCCTAATAGTCTAGGTGACTCAATATTGCGTGCAATATGTTGAGATGAGATGGTGGTTGGAGGTAATTAACAGGAAATCCTAAACCTAGATTTCGTGCTATTTGGCAATCGTCAACAAAGTATACCTGTAATCTTAAAAGAATTGATGCTGACGAATGCCAAATAGCAAAAAATCCGGGTCCATGTTTGCCTGTTGATTACCTTCAACCACTATCTTATCCAAAATAGTTTTTTTCTTTAACTCAGGAAGTTTTAATTAGTCAACAAAAGTTTCACTTCTAAGTCAATGGAAAAAAAGAAATCTTGAAAAGCTTTTGAACGTCTAACTTTATACGTTCATGTATATTTTACAATTGAAGAGTTATTTAACTCTTTCACACATAACTCGAGAAGTATTCAATCAACATTCAGATTATTGGTGTTGTTCCGTACTACACTGATATGTTCACTCTAATAACTAAATGATTTAAATAGAAAAACTATCTGACATGTTTATTGGTGAATAGTTTAGCTTTCCGTAGTTGCTACCATAAATTATAATATTGAACCTATAAAACAATAAAAATGATAATTATAATCAGAAAGAGTCAATTGAAGATAAACCACCAATAAAAAAACCTAGAAGCACTGGATGGTCATTTCATCCTAGTATGGGACTCGTCAGCAGTGCATATCCATGATCTCGCCTCGCGAGATTCAAACCTAGGACTTATCAGTCTCTCACCCAAACGCCTAACCTCTAAACCATTGTGCTGGCCTGCATCCAATTGTGATCTAACTTCAATTGATTCATTAATTCAACTATTATAATAATAATTAATAGATATTTAATAATTGAATTCATAAGTCAATGAAAGCTAGACCACCAATAAAAAATCTAGAAGCACTAGATGGCCATTTCATTCTTGTATTGGACTTCTCATCAGTGCACATCCACGAACCCGATTCTCAAGATTTGAACCTAGGACTTATCAGTTTCTCACGCGAACGCTTAACCTCTACACCACTGACCTAGCCGACATCCAACGGTGTTAATATCTAACTTCAACTAATCCATCAAATCGATCGATAGTTAGATTACATAATATTAATGTTGGTTTCATTGATATTCATATATATAATATAAAATGCATATTACCATAACATTATTCTTTCCATAGAGTAATGTACTTCTTCTTGTTTGATATAAACTATCTATATTATTATTATTAGTAGTAGTAGTATCTGTAATTGATGAGTCTGATAATGTAGAAGAATTTCTAATTTTTTTGAATGTTTTATCAATTTTTTTATTTTTATTATCATCATCAATAGTTGCCATGTGAACTATCTGTAAATTGAAAAAAAAGAAAATTTTAATTTTATAGGAAAATGTTACACAACTTCAGTTAAATAATAATTAAATGTTGAAAATGAAGAATTTCGGTCCCGATAAGTATAATGAATGGTAACGTTGAGGATCCATTTATGAACGAATATTATACGTATACGGTTTAGTGTGTAATTATTAAATAATTAAACTATTCATATTCATTTTCCTTGTATGATGAGCTTTATTTTGACCTATGAACTATTATTATACGATTTACCATTCTTGAGTTATACCCAGTCTATTAATTACTATCTCCCACATTCACAGTCACATTTGGCTGATTCTTGTGCAAATGTTGTATCCTAATTTATGGTACGATATGGTCTGTTTGGTTGGTATATAAACCAAGTATGTTTGAAATAGAATGATTCATATCGCAGAGTCTGAGATTGGTGTTCTGGACTCAACAGGCAGAGGTAGGCATGAAACAGGACCAATAAGGACTCTAGGCTGTTCGTACGTCTTTTATACGTTACTGGTCCGATTGATAATTCACTGTTCTTTAATTGGCGCTATCATTACTTTATACATTAACAGGGCACATAGACCACAAGTTATAACAGTTAACAAATTGATATACAGTATTTAGTGGCTCTATATCTAACTCTAATTGGATTGTATTGTTGATTGTTATCGAAATACACAGATTGGCTATTCTCACATATTGAGATGGTGGAGAACATGTGTAACTCAGGTCGATGATTTTGATGGAGTTTCGTTCTTTGAGCTAGATGGTTTGGTTGTAGAGCTTTCATCGTTCTTATGAACGACATGGTCAGTAGGACAAACGTCAAGTAGAAGTGAAGTGTACGAATTTCTCCACATGTTCACAGCTTGTCTTGTAAACCCGGTTCTTGTTGACCTTAAACTCGTCATTGTTTAGTTCTTTTTTGGTTGTATAACCCATTGGTTTAATTTTTGTTCTTATGTTTGTGCATAACTTTCCTGATTTGTTGATCAATTGGATCGATTTCAATGTGCTTGTTTACTGACTTGAGTGACAAGCTTCTAAAAGTTCTCTGGTGTTTTTGGAATTGCTTCTATCCGAAATCTTCAGATTTTTCCAGTCGAATGTGTATCTACAATTATCCGCGTGCATTGATATAAGTGAGAACATGTCATGGCGTTTGACTACTAATTGATATTCATTCAGGCGTAGATGAAGAGTGCTTCCGCTTCATACAAAGCGCACCAATCAACATCTAGGTGTACAGGACAAGCTGTGAACCACTTGTAGGGAAATTCGAACACTTCATTTCTACTTAAAGCTTGTGCTGATGATGCCGTTCGAAAGAACGATGAGAGCTCCACGACCAAACCATCCAGCTCTAAGAACAAAACTCTATCGAAATTCTCATACATAATTTTAGACTTAAATCTCGTTAGTGCATAACGGAGTTAAGGTAGTCAAACACGAGAATGAAATTTTGAATACGTTTATTGCGTACAATCATTGATCCAGTCAGACAGTCGGGGAGACGAGGAGACAGAAACGAATAGGAGAGAAAGAGAGGAGCAAAACGGCATGACATACAGTGGAGAAGGCATGTGAACCTACTCAATTTAACCAAACATTAATCGATACTTATAATCAGACAAAAGTAGGTTATGGATATGTGATGAATAGGATAAGATCTGTACACACATACGCTCATATAAAAACAGCCAACGTCGATAAGCGAATAATTGACAAGGTGTTGGGACGGCTTCCGAGAATTATGACGGAGCCACCAGAGGCCGTAAAGGAGCCTAAAAGTTTCGATTCAATCAGAACGTGATATAGCTTTCCTGAACATCAACGCGGCATACTACGATTGGACATTAGCATAAAATCCCTTTTGCGAATTGATTGAATTATAACGTTGATGCAAACAAACGCTAATATCTTTAAATATACATGATTTTCTGTACATTTTGATTCATAACCAATAAACACTTCTCCAGCCTTCTTCGATTTTCTGATTTGCGACTATAGGGTTCTATACGTTCTAGTATCACAGTTTTATACCGTGTTTTGCGTTAATCAAATAACGAACATAACACAAGATCAAAATGTGACAAAAGAATAGTGATTAAATTGACCTGTTCGGAATCTAGAATAAGCTATGTGGACTTAACATAGCAACCGACACTACAAGATGACTATCTGAAACTAGTTTCATAAAAGGAAATCAAGAAATATATTTCTGTATTTCTCTTATAAGATAAGATTTAAAGGTCAACTTTATACTATTATTTACTACAATCGTAAGCAAAGTAATATGTGATGTGTGCTACTTATGTCAACAGTAGTGTGTAACATCAACCGAAAATGGAACACCTGGCAGTAGAAGATTGAAAAAATCGAAGAGAAGAGAACGAGAACAGAGAGTGACTGGTATAGAAACGAAAGAACAACAAAGACTGATAGATATTTTTCAAATAAATTAATTGCTGTACGGTTCTCAGATTTTACCAAGATATTCTGTGATATCTCCACTTTCATTCTCGTTCATTACAATGTGTATAAGTGCGACTAAAAAGTCATTCAAAGTGAATGATTTTCACTTAATAAATGATTCAACGTATATACATATATCAGGTTAATAATTTCAGACTACAAACTAATATGATACAGCTCAGTAAATGCGAGGATTGTCAAAGCAAGGACAGCATTCCTACAGTTAAAGAACATATGGAACTCAGAACAACTGTCTGTCAACCAATATCAAAATCTGAATCTTTAGTGCGAATGTCAAAACATTTATACTGTACGGAGCTGAAACTTGGAGAAATAATATAATCATCATTAAAACAGTACAAGTATTTTCAATGGTTGAAATCATGAGTCCATTGAAGCTAGACCACCAATGGAAAACCTGGAAGCACTGAACGGCCGTTTCGTCCTATTATGGGATTCCTCAGCAGTGCGCATCCATGATATCGCCTCGTGAGATTTGAACCTAGGACCTATCAGTCTCACACGCGAGATAGGTCCTCATGATCTAAACCATTGAAATTACTATCACAGACACAAAAACCTTTCTGGTACAAGTATTTATAAGTAGTTGTCTACGCAAGATACTCACTATCCATTTGTCAGGTACCATTATCAACAACCTACTGTTGGAGAGAACAAACCAGCTTCCAGCTGAAAAGAAAATTAGTAAAAGATGATGAAACTGAATAGCATACATTGTGGAAATCATCGAACTGTATTACAAAGCAAACGCTAACTTGAAATCCTGAAAGCAAACGGCAAAGAGGAAGGCCAAAGAACACACTACGTTGAGAATTGGGAGTAGACATGAAAAGAATGAATAACAACTGGAAAGAATTGAAAAGGATTTCCTAAGACAGGGTTGGATAAAAGAGTGCTGGTTGGTAGCCTCTACTCTTTCACGAAGTGTAACATGCGTAAATAAGTAAGTAAATATATAAACTGATATAATTAGAAGTTTATTTTAGAAATAAATACTTACAGGGGAAGCTTTTAATGGAATATAACTAGTTTGATTTTGATTTGTAATTGATGTGAATCTTTGCCTTTCAATTAATTCATTTGCATGTAAATTTAACCAATATGAATCTTCATGAATACCTGATGTATAATTAATTGCACATGGACCTCCTAAATAAATAAAAGTAATCAGATATTTGTGAAGTATTCATTAATAATTATTACAATAGTACATTACCTACATTCAGATACTAATTTACCTTCATTAAATGGTGGTTGGAGGTAGTCGATAGGAAATCCTGGACCGGGTTTCGTGCTACTTGGCACTTGTCAGCAAGGTGAGAGAACTGGTGCTCCGTGGCGTATTCAATCTCGTGTCACCCAGCTTCACAGTCAGAGACGTTACCACTGAGCTATCCGAGCCGCAACCGACCTCCTGTAATCACGATTGATTGATCACTTGGTGATCAATGTCATGTGTGTCAAGTCCTTATTAGTGCAGATCGAATGCTATCGACCATGTCGCAAAGTGGCCACCAGTCTAGGTGACTCGACAGCATTCGATCTGCACTAAATAAGGACTTGACACACATGACATTGATCACCACCCAGTGATCAATCAATTGTGACTAGTTTCATTACACTTGTTGTACAGTAGGTGTTATATTCTAGTCAAGATTAAATTGCAGGTAACCTCTGTGAATTATTAATGGATGAATATTAGATATAGATTCCTATTATCAGAAGGGGTTTTGTAGAGATTTTTAGAAATTTCACTGATTGAAATCACGAGTCAATTGAATCTCACACGGTGCGGGATTTTGGATGCGCACTTCTGAAGAGCCGCATACTAGGACGAAACGGCCATCCAGTGCTTCCAGGTTTTCCATGGTGGTCTAGCTTCAATTGACTCATGATTTCAATCAGTGATATATTCCTATTGTATAATCGTTTAGTAACTAGACTGTCTATATCCATATTCCTCTTGTTATAAGCTTTATTTCGATCTATACACTCTTATTATATGATTTACTGTTCTTAATTTATGTTCATTTTATTTATTACAGTCTCCCATGTTCATAGTCACTTTTCGGCTAGATCTTGTACAAATGTTATTTTCTATATGATGGTTTGATGCAGTCTGTTTGACTGGTATATAAACCAAGTATGTTTGAAATAAATGCTTCGTACAATGGGAAAAGATATTGATGTCCTGAACTCAACTGGAACAGTTAGTCAGAGAAAAAAGATCAATAAGGAGTCCAGGATGCCCATACTGGTCGAATACAGTACTAAGATTGAATAAGTCGTATTTTGGTTGGTGAATAAATCATGTGATAACTAGTCGGATTTAAAGGCACAACAACTTCATAATACACAAGTGATTTTGTCTTCGGCATTAGTAATTTTTTCTACAAAAATGACTAGATAATGGCAAGGTATAAATTACATGAGATGCAAAATATCATACAGAAATGTTGAATTCTGTCAACATTTATGTAGTAAAGATTGTTTTAACGATTTCATGCAACGGATTTACGATAATGAATAGAACGCTAATAGGCATGTGAATGCAATGACATTGTGTGTCCAAGTGATGGCTATCCACAAAACCTTATTATCGACCAAAACACTTGAATGATTCAGAATCACAGACATGACCGTTAACCGGCTGAATAGGTGATTCGATGCTCTCACGTTCAGTCACTTTTCGGCTTGATCTTATATAAATTTTATTTTCTATTTGATGGTTTGATGTAGTCTATTTGACTGGTATATAAATCAAGTATATTTGAAATACATGATTCGTATACTGGAAGCTGTTAGTGGTGTTCTGAACTTAACTAGAAGGGCAAGTCAGGGAAAAAGACCAATAAGAAGGTTAGGCTGCTCATACCAGAGTTTCGTTTGACAGTCTGGTCCGAGCTTTTTCAAGAAAATATTTCCATCCCAGGCGAAAATTCATATTTTTTCGCTGAGATTTTACAAATACATTCTTCCACTTTAATGTCTCACATCAACTCGGCGCCCAAATACTGTGAAACTTTTCAATCAAATTTAGATAAAAGTTCTTATTCATTGACAAAGTGTTTACAATCGATTGATTACTGGATGGTGATCAATGTCATATGTGTCAGGTCCTTCTTAGTGCAGATCAAATCTTATCGACCATGTTGCGATGTAGTCAATAGTCTAGGTGACTCGACATTATGTCACTATGTTGAGATAAGATTGTGGTGGTCACCACTCAGTGATTAATTGATTTTAAATACATCTCAGTCCTACAGGAAGTCAATCGTTGCCCAGATATCCCAATGATAACTTTTCTGACTGTGAAGCTAGGTGACATGAGATCGAATCCATCAGCTAGCATCAGTTCATTCAAGATTACAGGTACACCTTGCTGACGAGTGCCAAGTAGTACGAAACCTAGGTTCAGGGTTTCTTGTCGACTATCTCCAACCACTATCTTAATAGCAACGTGTATTATGAAAGATAACGGCAAATATTATTTAAACTACTTAATGGAGCTTTCAGTGTTCAGACCAACAGACTTCTCTAGGTATCATACCGAAATCCTGTCACATCGATGTAGACTATCTCCAAGACATGTACACAGGATCCAGATGAGTCATTTACTTGACGTCATGTAGTTGATACAGAGAACCGGAGCGATTTACTCTCTACATATCTGGAGATTTGACTGCCAGCTCGCTGATGCAGATGTAACACCAAGCTCACAAGCCGTTAGAGACTAGATCCAAATAGACAGTAACTTCCGAGCTGTTTGACTAAGCGGGGAAGTAAGAATACAAAATGCGGAGAAATGCTCATTTGATTTATGTGTGGGCTTAAAATAACAATTGACACTATATTTATCTCAGGAACGACTAAATAATCAGTAATGTTTATCCCAAGGTGACTCGGCACGATATTCAGGCAGCTGGGAAAACAGCACTGATATTCATGAATAACTGTAACCAAAAGTTTAAGAAAAGTCGATGGATTTCGACAGCATCTACTAAACTTATAGATGCTTGGAAGCTCTTCATATTAGGCTACGTACACTTTGCGGATCAAAGGCATCTGAAACATAGTCTGAAAAAATATCTACAAAATGATCATGAGCAGAAATGCCCAACGAAAGCAAAAGAAATGGAAAGTGTGAAAGTGATAAGCAACAGAAGACAACTTTTCAGGCATATCGAGGAATCAGGTATCAAAACTTTGAAAGATAATAAGATTATTGTAGAAAAACTGAAACGATGATACACTTTCAAACTAGGAAACCGATTTAGTTGGTATAAGACTCTGGCGAACAGGTTAAATGCTTTTAGGTTACCCTTTGGTTTCCAAATTTTACTAAGCAACCTAAATATAATAAAAATATGAGCTCCCTAATTCCCATGGTGGTAGAAAACTTCGTAGCTGATCTACATCGAGGAAGTGCTACAGGCTCTGATAAAAAATGCACGACGGATTTTCGATGTTAATGGCTCAGTTTTACCAGTCATGTCGAAGGAGACATTCGCTTAAGTCTAGGAACTGGACGTAACCCTATTTCACTGGTCTTGATCGTTGATCAGCCCAGTCTATAAGAAAGGACAAAAATTATCTTATGATAAGCACGGAGGAATCGATTTCACTAATATGATGTCCTGAATAGTAACTGCATTGATCAAACATTGCCTTATTTAAGCTTATGAAAAGCAAACTCGGCAAAATCAGGTTGATTTCGGAAATGGATTTGGATTTAGATACCAAATATTCACCCTTCGGCAGGTTTTAGAACACGGATATACTCACCGCTTCCCAACCATAGTTGTATTTCTCGGCTTTAAGGCAGAGTTAAGCAATGTCGTTCGACATGTTTTACGGCTATGTCTGTCATTGTAAGGTGCACCAGAGAAGTGCATTAACCTTAAAACAAGCTTTCTACTCCGAACATCACAGGTCGATTTAGAAACTATCTCTAACTGTCATTGGAATCGATCACTTCATGTAATGTTCATCAGGGTTATCTGCCTGGTTAATTTTTGTTTAAATTTAACATAAACATTCTTTTGGAGATAACAATCTCACCGTCTGACATATCAGTAGTTGATCTCTAGTCAGGAGATTTTCTTTTTCATTTATAATACTCAGAGCCAGAGGTAGCCAAACCGAAACATGACATCTGTCCATGAAGACACTAACCATTGGGTTTGGACACGTAGGTAGGTTTAGACAACCTAGTTGAGATTCACATGATTATCATAACCAACCAATAGAAACTCTAAATAAAATGCTCAAAATTGTTCACAATGTTGTATGGGCATTCACTCTTTGTCTTTCCTAAGATCCTAAACTCTTCAGTATCTAAATATCTTTTCTCATTCCATTAATTTATGTTTGCTGAAATGCTTAATATTTTTTTTCACTGTTACTGTTACTACCTTTACTAACCTGAGATTTTTCTTGAGAATTTCATCGCACAGTGCTAAAGCGGTGTGGAAACTTGAACCAATGTAAATTAACACAAGGTTCTACTGTCTTCCTGACTTATTGACTGATTGACACATATAGAATATACTGAGAAAAGAGTCGCTTTAATTTATTATAATTTTTTTTATGTAAACACATAAACATTGGTACAAAGGGGCACCGAATATATATTCTCCACACAAGTCACTTGATTTGTGTATGGGCTGTGATACTGCCTGGGTGCCTAAGTCGAAGCAGGTGGTTTCCTTATTGGGCCACTCCTTCAGCCTTTGACCTAAAAATCTGGTCCACAAGGCAGTAGAGCATCGTAAGGAGAAGCAGTCCCATGGTAGCCGGTGACCAATGATTGGTTCATATGTCATTTTTTCCTTCAAGATACAGGAGTCCATGTGCACCATTGCTTTGGAATTAGGGATTTTTAACTCACCTGGGTGGATCCTCCATGTCCATCAATCCAGTTAAAGCTCTGCAAATGTGCTTTTTGTCCCCTTAATTTCCTAAACAAAACCGCCGCCGCAAAAATGCAATGAATAGTACGTCCCTGGAAGTGGCTGTATACACGTGGCTATGTGAGAGCATTTGGAGAGGGAGAGCTGACTTTCCCTATCTTCGGTTTTACCAGGACGTTTGGGGACAGATTCATAATTTCAGTTTCGTATATCAAGATAAAAAAGTTCAAATTTCATAATTACCCCTTATAAATAAAACATTGAAAAAGACTTATTGAACTTACTAATCAAAGATAAGAATACATTCACATCACATTGATTAGCCACAATGCTATCAGAACTGTAAAATTCTCTACAATGGAAAAGAAATTCTGTATATATATACATAATGAATGGATAATATTTTATATAATATATCTTTATTTAATAATTGAATTCATGAGTCAGTTGAAGCTAGACCACCATGGGAACCATGGAAGCACTGAATGGTCGTTTCATCCTAGTATGGGACTCCTCAGCAGTGCGCATCCATGATTCCATCACGCGGGATTCGAACCCAGGACTTATCAATCTTTATTTCTAGTGTGACATTTCAAATTAGAGATAGTAGTATAACTTGATGAACAGAAATGAACTAAAGGGCAAATTCATATCATTAGCTAAGGTATATATATATATACATGGCCTTCCTTTTTTACTCGCATCTTTTTGCTCAAGTAGTCATCTGGGGGGTGGTTGTAGCGTGGAACGTTGTGTTTCAGTGTCAGATCTCGGACCCCATCCATCATAAGCATGCATATATGAATTGATATACGTGCATATAACATTTACAATGTGATCAAGTGTATCAGTTTCTATAGGTGACTTACTGTATGTTGCGAAGTGACCGAGATTGATATTTTCTATTCATTGAGATGCTACGAATATTATATCATTCTCAGTCGCTTGTTTATGTTCACATTGAGATTCAAGCCCATTACACTTTGCTTCAAATAACGAACGCGTTTTTCACCCAGCATTAGAATCCTGTAATCAATATAGCTTGTGCAATGGGGATGAATTTCGTTAGTCAATTATAATTGTTTAAATCTTCCAATCATTGATAATAAGGATAGAACTTTGATCTGTCCCATCTGGTATACTTCTTTATTGAACGTCCTGTCTCAATACTGTCATTAATCCATTGAGTTGCTCATTGGGTAATATAATAAGCGTTCGGATGAAAAGGTAATAGGTTTGAGCCATTGTATACATATTAACATTGAGATACAAGTGCATCTACATGATGAACCCCAGACAAGATCGCAGATTAACAGCCTGGATTCTGTAAGGATTGGTCGTACACATACTGAAAAGCGATACTACGGATCATTATTGAGCAATCACTTGAATGGAACGCGTCACTATACATAAAGTCCTTTGACTATAAGAGTTAGACAGCATGGATAGAAGAATCTCATAGGACCTTCTTCAACACTATAGTGTAAGTACGTAAGCCAGGATAAAACTCGCATCCTGGATTACAATCGTAACTATTATCCATCATTACTTAAAAATACTTATGATTTGATGGTAATACTAAAACAATCCACTTGAGATATAGACATTTTAGAACAGACTAATTGAGAAATTAAGTACTTAAGATCAAAAACATAAATATTCAAACACTCATAAATGACCAATATACAATCAAAATAATCATATTTTATTACTTTGCTCTTGAACATATATGTTGTACAATGGGTTCAAGTAGTTTCTCTACAAGTGCAAAGTGAATCCATTCAATATTTGAATTGTTATTGTTAGTTCTGTAAAGAAAGGTAAATGAAATATGTAGAGACTGTTTAGTAAATTTACCTAACAACAACTTCAATTATATGTTCTCTAAGTAGTTTCAATCTATTTGTTTGTTGTTTTTTTGGTTTAGTTACTAAGTCAATTAAACATGTCTTTCTTCAAGTGTTTTTGTTTAATATTCAAGTAGGATAGATTATAGTCATCAAGGATAGAAATATGTAGATAAGATTTCTAGGGTTTTTTTTAAAAATTATCTGTTATATCTCGATAGGAATAATGAATGGTAACTTTGGGGATCCATTTATGGATCAATACTATGCGTATATTTGTATCATATAATTGTTATGTAACTAAACTATTCATATTCATGTTTCTCTGATCATAAGCTTTATTTTGACCTGGGCACTATTATTATACGATTTGCCATTCTTGAGTTATGCCTTGTCTGTTAATTACTACCTCCCTCATTCACAGCTACTTTTGGCTAAATCTTGTGCAAATTTCAACGGTTGAAGATCATGAGTCAATTGAAGCTAGGCCACCATGGAAAAATTGGAAGCACTGGACGGCCGTCTCGTTCTATTGTGGGACTCAGCAGTGCGCATCCACGATCCCGCAACAACGCCGGATTCGAACCCAGGACCTACTGGTTTCGCGCGCGAGCACTTGACCACTAGACCACTGAGCCGGCATCCAACGGTGTTAATGTCTAACTTCAACTAATCCACGAAATTGAGCGACACATTCACCATTGTCTTCAGTGAGTTACTATCTCACAACAGACCTGGTTGAAAATTAAGTTTCGGCATACAATATTATATAATATTATTCATTTACTTTTATAATCAATCAGAATTACCTTAATTTTGAATAAAATTTCTTTCCAGATAGAGACTTTTTATCATTTTCTTTATCAAACTTATTTTATTATTTTCTGAATAATGAAAAAGTTTTTTTAAATTTGATTTATTTTCTCTTTTTATTGATTGTTGTTGTTGGTGGTGGTGGTGGTGCTGGTGCTGGTGGTCGTGGTCGTTGTCATGGTGATCAGATTGTGAATTGTTCCTATGATTATTTTCAATTGGATTGAAATGTTTTTCAAATTTATTGATTATTTCCATAGCTGGATCACATTGATTTGAAATTTTACGTAATATAGCATAAGTTGATATAGTTTGATTGAATATAAATGGTGATGTTTTTAAACCAATTCGAAGACAATCATGAACTAATGCTACATAGAAATAAGAAAGTATATTTATGGGTAGATTAGAAAAGCCTTTCATATAGAAAACTATTCAATATTTTATTATATTAGTTTTAGTGAAATTAAGTAGATATTCCAACATATAGATGAATCCAAGTGTCAATTGAAGCTAGACCACTATGAAAAACCTGGAAGCACTAGATGGCCATTTCATCCAAATATGAGACTCCTCAACAGTGCGCATCCAAGATCTCGCCTTGTGAGATTAGAACCCAAGATCTATTGATCTTATGCGCAAATGCTTAACCTCTAAACCACTGAGTTGATATTCAACGTTGTTAATGTTTAACTTCAATCAATCTACAAAAATGCGTCACCGATCACCATTGTCTTCAGTGAGTTACTATTTCATAATAAACTCGGTTGAACTTCACTGGTCACGGCTTCTCACTAGAACTCCAGGAAATACCTTTTGAAGTTAGTCACTAGGTCCTGAGTTCTAATTTTGCGAGTGCGATCGTGAATGAGCACTGATGAGGAGTCACATACTAGGACGAAACGGCCGTCTAATGCTTTCAGATTTTCCATAGTAGTCTAGTTTTAATTGACTCATAAATTCATCTATTAAGAAAATTACTATAATATCTACAAAACCCGTATCCGATAATACAGATATTCGTCGACAGGAAACCTCAAATATATATACTTACGCTTTTAATACTGTGATCACAGTTGTTTAAAGTTTGCTAACTTTATTTTCGAAAAATAACATTAAAAGCTAATACACTTGCAAACTTTTCCACTGAACATAAAATTCTATTTACCAGATGATTCTATGCTCTCTCCACTATAATGAAACACAAAGTGTCTATATTCGATTTACTATTATGGTGTGTGTTACTGATGTCGACAGATATAAGTAGTATATATGATCAATCGATAGTGAAATATTTTATAGCAGAAAGTTAAAAAGATCAAAGAATATAGAACAAGAATAAAGAAAAATTAGTATGGAAACAAAAGAACAATCAAGTCTAAGATAATTGATTGACATTATGCAAATGAAGGTACAATCAGGGACATCATGGTGGTTGACACGCAATATGCATTGAAAAGAATGAACATTTTTCAGATGTCGATTCATGAACTGTTAACATCTAACTGGTGATCACTCAATATGTGATCGTCAGGATAGATGAAGAAATAAGAAAAGGAAACTTGTTGAAATACTCTTGTGCTGAGAATTCTACATTGTACCAAAAATATAATATTGAATAAAGCTAATAATAATAATAATTAGTGTAAAGTGAAATACCGAAACTGTTATTTAATTGATTTGTAAGTAACAAATTAGTACAAAGTTTCAATTCCTACAAACATTCATATTTTACATAGTGTATATGTTTCTGAAAGAACCTCATTACAACTACTCAGTTACTAGGGTAGCTTTCAGTCAATCATAAATCCTGGGTTCGAATCTCACAAGGTGGGATCATGGATGAGCATTGCTGAAGAGTTTCATAATAGGACCAAACGTCCATCTAGTACTTCCAGCTGATGAGTCCCTAATAGAATGAAACGCGCGTCTTGGATTCCACTGCTAGCCACTATCTTTCTTTGGTCATATAGAAAATACTTGACAAATATAAACATGATTAAAAATTGATTTAAGACGTACCAATAGTAAGATTTAACAATCCGTGTCGGGTAGAGACAGTTATCTACCTCAGTACAATGGAATATGGCAGCGCGATTTCAAGGATTGGTTGAAGTTAAACATCAACACCGTTGGATACCGGCCAGCTCAGCGGTTTAGAGGATAAGCGTTCACATGAGCGACTGAGGGCCCTGGATTCGAATCCCTTCGGTGCGGGATCGTGGATGAGCACTGCTGAAGAGTCCTACAATAGGACGAAACAGCCGTCCAGTGCTTCAAGGTTCATGATTTCAATCAGAAATAATTTTAAACAAGCTAAGGATTAGGTAGAGTGTGTTTACAATATGAAGATAACATATATTTGCATGTTGCTATTTGATTTGTTTTTTTGTCAGAGAATAAATAATCCTCTTTTGTTATTGTTAAACAAAAAAAGTTGATGATGAATGAAACGTAAATCGAATGAGACAATAGCAAGATCAGACAACATAATAAAAGAAGCAATGAAAGTCAGATATAGAAATAACTATAAAGATGCTTCATAATCTCTTCAGAAAGATTTGAGGAGAAGAAGAACAAGTATCAACAGACTGGGAAGAAGGATACTACATCAAGATACCAGCGAAAGATGATATCAAGATATATGAAAACTATATAGGCATCATACTACTATCAGTATGAGGTAAACGTTTTAGATAATGTTGTTATACTGAATGAAAGATTCAGTAAACGACCCACTTTGTAACAACTGGTTGAATGAATGAATTAAGTTCATATAACTAATTAAATGACATAACAAACTTACCACAAAAACTAATTACATGTGTACTATCTTCAGGAATTGAACGACAAACTGAAGCATATTCCATTAATGTTTTAACATTTAATTTTAATTCATGTATTAAATCTTTACGTTTATGATATAAGTTATTTTCATCTGAAAAGAATAAGATTGAAATGTGTTTACTGTTAAGAAGTTACTTGAAACAATGTAACTAACAAGTCAATAGTCACGATATGTTGAGGGTACTTTAGATTAATCTTTTTTTTACACTTGATCGCTGAATTATATTAGGTTATCGATTCACAAGCTTCGTTGCTGTAATGCAATCAATTACATCTCCTATATTGGAATACTTACTGACTTACACCTGTTACCTCCAATGCAGCATAGGCTGCCGACCAGCATTATCCAACCCATTCTGTCCTGGACCTTCCTTTCCAGATCTATTCAATTTTTGTTCATTCTTCCTATGTCTGTCTCCATTTCTCAACCGAATGTGTTCGTTGGTCTTCCTTCCTCTTTCGCGTTGAGGTTTCCAGGTGAGGGAATGCCTTGTGATGCAGTTGGGTACTCTCCTCAATGTGTGTCCTATCCACTTCCAGCTCCTCTTCCTGATTTCTTCTTCCTCTAGGATCTGGTTTGTTCTATCCCATAGTAGGTTATTGCTGATAGTGTAGTGCGTTGCCAACGCATCCGAAGTATTTTGCGTAGACAACTGTTAATAAACACCTGTTTCTTCTGAATGATGGCTTTCGTAGTTGTCCAAATTTCCACCCCATACAGTCGAACTATCTTGACATTTGTATTGAGAATTCTGACTTTGGTGTTGATTGACAGACAGTTGTTTTGAGTTGGAGATATTCTTCAGTTGTAGATATTCTGTTCTTGCTTTGCCGATCCGTGCCTTTACATCTGCATCAGAAATTGCAATAACTATTCTAATATAGTTTAACTCAATCAGATCGTTTCGTATATCACTGGATAATTTGGAGCCTATATTTGTTTGTAGGTCTTTAGGAGCCACTATTTGGTGCACAACTTTTACTGATTTAGAGTTATTTATAAGAGAATAATAAAGAATGACAAAATACAAAAGTTTTGAGTTTCCGAGTTAAACATCTAAGATCAACAAATTTATTATATAAATATACATAGCGATAAGTTCGAAAACACACTTATGCTAATTTTGTTTTGCTTGAGATCATGAATCGATTAATGTTAGACCACCATTGAAAACCTGGAAACACTGGATGACCGTTTCGTTCTAGTACGGGACTACTCAACAGTGCACACTCATGATCCCGTATGCAGGACTCGAACCCAGGTTTTCAATAATGATCTAGCTTAGATCGACTTGTGAATTCAACTATTAAAATTATTAAAATTTCCACAAACCCCCCATTCTGATAATAAATTTTTAGTCGAATTCAAACACTTTTTCCATCAAAAGGACAGTCGGTGAGAACTTAATTTAAATTTCCATAGATTCTGTCCGATAAGAAATAAACAAACTTTAGTTAGTCAGTCAGTCAGTCAGTAACAACATAGAACTTCGTACGTACGTACATCAGTTCGAGTTGCCACACCACATTAGCACAGAGATTCAGTTGTCGACTCAAATCCCGTAGTGGTAGAGGTAGCAAGAGTATAAGCAGTAATCGGGAAGATTAGGGTTTGGAGATGTTATTTAAAGAGTATAATACAGTGAAATAAATTTGGAAAGAGGAAAAAGGGACATGAAGAATTCAGAAGATTAGAATTTGGGAGAATACAAAGAGTGGATGCACCCGTGCCATTGCAAACGATTTTTAGCCATGTCATTCAGGGTCTCTAACCATCGGTTGCTATCATCTCGTGGTCCCCAACCAGATAGTCTACACCTACCAACATGACTCAGTCCACTTGTCAGTGACTTCATGGACTTATGCCATGTTTTGGTTTGGCCGCCTCTAGCTTTCTTCCAACCTCCTCCTATACCACTGAACATAGCACGTCGAGGTAGTCGGTCGTTGGGCATACTTTAGTTAGAACGCTTTTCAATCGACATTCAGGAAGAATTAGCCAACACTGAATATTATCTGAAAGATAGTGGTTATCCTCAAATGTTTATCAGTAAATATACAAAGAAAAGAACGAATAGAATGAAGCATAATAAGATAGGGAAAAAACTTGGTTGAAATAGTTGGGAGAATTGTTTATAGACTATGAGCTGTATCAAAATTGAATTATTCAGTCTCTAAATTAGTTCTCCCTAATCGAATAAATCGGTTGTTGACATATTCAACGAGAACAAATGTTTACTTTACGTTACCGACATTTATGTCCACCAGTTTATATGTACGTACCGAAGCATATTTTAGTAAATTCCTCAGAAGTGTGAGTAAGGAACCAATATACTTCCAATAGTGCGATAGCTCAATATCTACTTGGTAGTAGGCATGATTTGCTTTTAGATTATTCTCCTGGGATAATATATATATAATATATATATAATATATATATATATATATATATATATAATGAAAGACTCGATAGATGCCCAACTTCAAGATCAACAGACCAGATTCTGTGAGGATCAGTCATGCAAAGACCGAATAGCAACACTACAGATCATCGTTGAACAATCAGTTGAATGGAACTCATCACTATGCATCAACTTCCTTGACTATGAGAATGCATTTGACAGTGTGGATAGGAGGAATTTATGGAAACTTCCTCGATATTATGGAGTACCTGAAAAAATCGTCAACACCATCCGGAATTCCAACGACAGACTGAAGTGCAAATTCGTCCATGGTGGACAGCTGACAGATGCATTCCGAGTTAGGGCTGCAGTCAGACAAGAGTGTTTATCTCTCCTTTCCTTTTTGTTCTGGTGGTTGAATGGACTATGAAGACCTCTGCATCTCACGGGAAGCACGGATTATAATGGAACGGTTGGATGCAATTAGAAGATTTTGACTTCGTAGATGGCTTGACTCTTCCATCCCATACGCATCAACAAATGTAGGTCAAGACAAACAGTGTAGCCTGCAGCCTCTTCATCAACATACACAAATTAAAAAGTAAGATTTTCAAATACAACACAGAGAACACTAACTCAATTGCACCTGATGGAGAAACTCTGGAAGAGGTGGAAAGTTTCACGTATCTGGGAAGCATGATCGATCAACAAGGAGGATCCGATGCAGACGTAAATGCGAGGATCGGCAAAGCAAGAACCTCATTTCTACAATTGAAAAACATATGGAACTCAAATCAACTGTTTCTCAACCAATATCAAAGTCACAATCCTCAATACGAACGCCAAGACACTTCCACTATCCAGAACTGAAACATAGAGAACTAATACAATCATCATCAAAAGAGTACAAGTATATGTAAATAGTTGTTCACGCAAAATACTCAACATCTATTGGCCGGATACCATCAGCAACAACTGAAAATGTCAATGACTTATCGCATGATTAATAAAACTGTTTGTGCCTTAAAAAGGAGGACAAAACTTTATTATCACTTAGTATCGTTTACATGAATTTTCCATTGATGTTTAGGACTGCAATTCATCAGTCTCTTATTGGAATATGTGCATACTAAGCGTATTGCCTCGATACTACCTCAGTTCACAAGAATTCTAAGTAAAGATGGGTATTGGCTAGCAGTGGGTTCCAGGACGCACGTTTCGTTCTATTAGAGACTCGTCAACTGGATGTACCTGCATCCTAGAGTTGATGTTCACTCCAGAACTCAAATCCAATTCCGTTTACTTCAAACACCATCACGTTATCAACTTCACTCCACCCCATTGAACAAGCAAGTGGCTATCAACATCTCAGTATCTAAGTGGATAATGCGATAGCATTTGAAGCAAACGGTACTAGGTTCGCGTTCCAGAGGAATGTCAATTCTTAGATGCATGTATACCCAGCTGATGAGTCCCGAATGGAACGAAACACGCGTCCTAGATTCCACTATTAACCATTTTATCATTTTTGTTTTAAAACTTTATTTATTTCAAAAAACAACAACTCAAATATAAACAAAGTATTTTATGTATACATAAACCATAGTTAAACTTACCGAATTTCCAATTTGTTAATATAAATGATAAGAACGTATGCTCTTTATCCATTATGAAACTTCTATATTGTACATTTTCAATAGTTGAATTGAGAAATTATGAAAGAATTTGGAAAGTATACATTCCCAATCAATAGTCTGTTTGTAACCATGTATGTATACGCTTATATTCTCCCATTAGTAACACAATACACCAATAGCATGAATGGGTATGATCTCAGTATTAAATATGTTCGTTTATTTTTATTTGTTTTCTCCTCTTAAATATTCCGTTTAAAAGTAGTATGGACATGTATTACATAGATAAATCTGTCTTTAACTAAACTAACTCAAATAGAAATAATAATAATAATGAATAACTTTCTTTCTATAGTAGATTATTGTCAATTTAATAATTGACCAATAAGAGAATAAAAATATTCTTCATATGAAACGATTCACTAAATGAATCTATGGATGATGTAATCATTAAATCGACAAGGAATTAAAAAGAGCCTCTCATGCGCTAGACTGATAGATCCCGAATTCGAATCTTGTGAGGTGGGATCATGGATGTGCACTGCTGAGGAGTTAGGCAATAGGACGAAACTGCTGTCCAGTGGCTTCCATGTTTTCCATAGTGGTCTACCTTCAACTGACTCATGATCTCAACTGTTGCGACTTTATGTCACGTGATTCATCCAATAATCAAAATACGACTTATACAATCTTAGCATTGTGCCAAATCAATGACGTTCGACCGATATGAGCAGCCTAGCGTCCTTATTGGTCCTATGTCCGCTTAGTCCGTCCACTTGAGTCCACAACACCAACACCAGCTTCCACTATGCGAATCGAAACGAATCATTTATTTCAGACATACTGGGTTTATATATCAACCAAACAGACCGCAACGCACCATAAAATAAGAAATAACATTTGTACACAATAAAGCCGAAAAGTGACTGTGAATGTGGGAGGCAGTCGTTAATAAACTGAACATAACTTAAGAACAGTAAATCGTAAAATAATAAATTATAGGACAAAACAAAGCTTATAACAAGGGGAATATAGATATACATAATCCAATTACTGAATATTTATACTATGAGAATATATAAATAATATTAGTTCATTAATAGGTTTCAGTCGTTACTCGTAATGTAATCTTCACTCGGATATAACACCATCTATTGAAATTACTATAATATCCATACAAAAAAACCTTCTGGAATTAAAGAGCTATCGAGTAAACAAAAAAGAAGGAAATGTATCACTGAGTGAAAAAGTGTCCAGTTTTTTTTATCAGTCATTGGTTTAACTTGGGAAATAGGTAATTTTACATTTCTTAGATGATCAACCAAGTTTCATGCTTAATATTATCATAATTCATTAAAGGTCTGAAGGATTTTACTTTGTCCACTTAAATGATTACTATAATCGATGACCGAAAACTGTCCAAAATGTCAATTAGTCAGCGTATCTCTAGTATTTTTAGATCAATATGGTATGCCTGAATACCGTTTATCACGACATGTAATGCTGACAAGTGCCGGAGACGGATGGACGAAAGTTGACAACTTCATTTATCTTGAAAGTCTGATCAGTTCTAATAGGTTAGTGTCTAATAAAATCTCAGCACGGATTCAGAAAGCTCGTTTGGCTTTTACCAACTTTCATCACCTATGGCGAAGGCGAGATTTCCGTCTTTCAATTAAGGGACGAGTATACTGCTCAACAGTTCGTTCTGTTTTACTTTACGGCTGCAAAACGTGACAATTAGGAGTAGAAGATACTCGAAAGTTACTAGTACTTGATGACAGACATCTTATTAATAGTGTTCACATCTGCTGGAATCACTGGGTAAGTTATAGTGAGGTTAGACGCAGGATATTAGGGAGTGATGATAAATCAGTTGATGAGGTTGTGGATCCTCATCGGATGAGATGGTTGGACCACGTATTACACATGCCCAAACACCGATTACCACGATGCACAATGCTGACAAGTGCTGAAGATGAATGGAAGAAAGTTATGGGCAACCAAACCGAAACGTGACATCAGTCCTTGAAGTCATGCTAGTAGATGCAGTCTACTTGGTTGGGGTCCGCATGACTATCGAACCAACGGTCGGAAACTCTGGATGACATGGCTCAGAATCGATCACAATGGTGTAGGTGTATACACTCTTTGTCTTCCCTCAAACTATGAGATTGAAATCGCTTTATATCTCTCTTTCTTTCTGTACTATATCCTTATACACAATCTTTTTTAAACATTATTACCATTGAATTGACTACTTCTATGAATTCAGTGTTCATCTTGCTGTGCTAATGAGATGTGGCAAATTGGACTGACGCATATATGTGCCTGACATGATTAGCGAATAGGTAGATCCACAAGCAACCAGTTAATGGGATATAGGGAAGATCAAACCACAACTCACTCTAGTTAAACTCACAACTGAACACAACTTAACCAATAGAATTAAAGTAATACATTGGACAATCACATGTTCAGTTAGATACTTTATTCCGAAGTGAACATACAATTCTGTCCATTTAACATATCTGCATTAAATATCATATTATCACTCCCACACGGCTAAGATATTTAAAAATATGGCTAAAAAGTGTGAGACTATAATTCATAGACAAACTTTGAGCAACGATAGACTGACCTCAAGATTGTTCTCCTACTAAAAACGAGAATCAAATGAAGGTTATAAATTTGTGTAAGGAATTCGAATTGTGATTTCCAGTTGATGGTTAAGATTAGAAATTAGATTTATGATTTTCATCACGAATTGACATCAACTATAATACCTAAATGCTCTTTAACTAAATAGATAAATAATTTTGCGTCGAAATCCAAGATCTATTATCTTATACCTGATTAGTTCATCCATAAATTATAATCTCACTTAAATAACTTGCAATGACAAGTGACATTATTAGTAAATCCCCTATGTTCAGAAAGGGTACGTGGAGATTTTAAAAACTTCACAGATTGAAATCATGAGTCAATTGAAGCTAGACCATCATGGGAAACCTGGAAGCACTGGGTGACTGTTTCGTCATAGTATTGGACTCCTCGGGAGTGCGCACCCACGATCCCGCACCCCGTGGATTGGTTGGAGTTAACATTAACACTATTGGATGCCGGCTCAGTGATCTAGCTGGTTAAGCGCTTGGCGTGAAACTGATAGGTCCTGGGTTCGAATCTTGCGAGGTGTGGGATCGTGGATCGCACTGCTGATGTGTCCCATACTAGGACGAAACGGCCGTCCAGTGCTTCCAGGTTTTCCATAGTGGTCTAGCTTCAATTGACTCATCATTTCAATCTATGAAATCCCCTATGTCTCATTATGAAACCTAATTATGTCAATATAACTACGTAGTTTGTCGGTAAAAATATATTATTAGTGTGGTGAATCGTTTTAAAGGAATTCTTTTTTGTTTTAAATTTATTTTTGTTTGTATCACTTTCTTGAAACAGCTATTGTAACTAAGTAGACCGAATGATTGTTTTCCTCTTTAGACTACAATACAATGTTAAGTGTTATACAGTTTTGGTAAACAATAAAATTGATTTTATTGTAGTATATTTAAACATTGATGATTCAACTTTTAACTTATTAGAATGACAATAAACTTTACAAATGAAAAGTGTACTTCCAATTATACCTAGAATTTTTCAATTAGTTTTTGTCTAAATTAACAAGGTTATTTTGAATATAGAAATAATTTCTTAAGATTCTTTTGACAGATTATTAGATTATTTTTGTAGGATATTCAAAATTAGATCTTTTTAGTCGGCTTCGGAGGACTACAACGGCGTCTCTAGAGGCCCTGAAGGAGCCTAAGAGTTCCAACCAATCAGAACATGATAGAGCTTTCTGAAATATCAACGTGGCATGCTACTATTGGTCAGTAGCATAATATGTCTCTGGAGATTGACCGAAATATAATGTTGGTTTAACAAACGCTAATGTCTGTTAATACCCGTGATTTTCTGTACATTTCTGATTTTTACAGACTAAACATTTCTCCAGCTTTCCTTCTGTCTTCTAATTTGCGACGGCGAAGTTTCAACGTTCGAGTGTCGTAGTTGTAACCCGTATTCGGCGTTAATCAAGTAGAAAAGTTAACAGACCTAATACTCAGCCGTACGACATGTTATTATTTTTAGTTTGTGTACATATTCTGTATATAAATGTTTCACTATTACATAGAAAACAACCTATTCAGTCGGTTAGCGGTCATGTCTGTGATTCTGAATCATTCAGTATTTTGGTCGATAATAAGGTTTTGTGGATAGCCATCACTTGGACACATGATGTCATTGCATTCACATGTCTATTAGCGTTCTATTAATTATCGTAAATCCGTTGCATCAAATCGTTAAAACAATCTTTACTACATAAATGTTGACAGAGTTCAACATTTCTGTATGATATTTTGCATCTCATGTAATTTATACCTTGCCATTATCTAGTCAGTTTTCTGGAAAAAATTACTAATGCCGAAGACAAATCACTTGTGTATTATAAAGTTGTTGTGTCTTTAAGCCTGGCTAGTTATCACATGATTTATTCACCAACCGAAATACGACTTATTCAATCTTAGTACTGTGTTCGACCAATATGGACATCCTAGACTCCTTATTGGTCTTTTTTCTCTGACTAACTGTTCCAGTTGAGTTCAGGACATCAATATCTTTTCCCATTGTACAAAGCATTTATTTCAAGCATACTTAGTTTATATACCAGCAAACAGACTGCATCAAACCATCATATAGAAAATAACATTTGTACAAGATTAGCCGAAAAGTGACTATGAACATGGGAGACTCTAATCAATAAACTGAACATAACTTAAGAACCTCGACGTGATCTGCTGCACCAAACAGCAAACTGTGATTCTGTTCCTCATTGAATTTTTATGCATATATTTTAAAGATAGTGATACTATTTTTAGTATCGAATTTTCCCGTACACTTACATAAACGTTCTCGTCATCATATGAGAACATGCACCTAACATTTTGAAAACTAAGACTCCAACGTCCTCAC